GTGGGCAAACTTTTTGACTTGAGGGCCGCAATGGGTTCATATATTGGACCCTGGGGCCGGACCAAGAGTAGATGAATGATGTGTATGTGTCATCCATAGTAAGTATAGTAATATTCCCCCATAGTAAGCATAGTAATTAATCCCCCATATAGTAATTCATCCCCCATAGTAATTCCTCCCCCATATAGTAATTCATCCCCCATAGTAATTCATCCCCCATATAGTAATTCGTCCCCCATATAGTAATTCGTCCCCATAGTAATTCATCCCCCATATAGCAATTCATCCCCCATATAGTAATTCATCCCCCATAGTAATTCATCCCCCCATATAGTAATTCATCCCCCATATAGTAATTCATCCCCCATATAGTAATTCATCCCCCATAGTAATTCATCCCCCATAGTAATTCATCCCCCACATAGTAATTAATCCCCCATATAGTAATTCATCCCCCATAGTAATTCATCCCCCATATAGTAATTCATCCCCCATATAGTAATTCATCCCCCATAGTAATTCATCCCCCATATAGTAATTAATCCCCCATAGTAATTCATCCCCCATATAGTAATTCATCCCCCATAGTAATTCATCCCCCATAGTAATTAATCCCCCATAGTAATTCATCCCCCATAGTAATTCATCCCCCATATAGTAATTAATCCCCCATAGTAATTCATCCCCCATATAGTAATTCATCCCCCATATAGTAATTCATCCCCCATATAGTAATTTCATCCCCCATAGTAATTAATCCCCCATATAGTAATTAATCCCCCATATAGTAATTCATCCCCCATATAGTAATTAATCCTTCCTATAGTAATTCATTCCCCATATTAATTCATCCCCCATATTAAGTCCCCAAGTCCCCCCTGTGTCAATTCACTTACCTTTGCTCCGCGCGTTCCTCTTGTTCCTCTTGTTCCCGCGCCGTTCGGTGTAGCATGAAAATCTGTCTCCTATGAGGATCTATCCCCCTCGACGTATCTGCGCATGTGCCAGTTTCAGGCATTAGCAGCCGATCGGCGATCTCCGGCACATGCGCAGATACGTCGAGGGGGGACAGATCCTCATAGGAAACAGGGCGGACTGTGAGAGGAGCCTAGCGGGAGCCTAGCTCCGCGGGCCGGATTAAAAGGTCCGCCGGGCCGTATACGGCCCGCGGGCCGTAGTTTGCCCATTGCGCTCCAGATTCTGCCCACTATATTCTAGGCTTCCCATTCTCGGATATATCTAAAACCCTCAAGAAACTGAGCATTCGTGTTTTAATTGCTGCCAAGAGACTTATACTAGACACATTTATTGGATGCTGTTATGGAGTTTAGAAGGATGGAGCACTTAAAAGCTAGGATTGGGGTTAGATAAATCCCTGTATATATGGGCAGAATGGGACCATTAATCATATGACCTTTCCCATTCTTCCCATTTTTGCTGATGTGCACCAAATGTAGAACTTGATGTGACACATATTCCGATGACTCATAGGTTGAAATATTCTGTATTGCTCTATAAGCTTTTTTTGTCTTGTTCTTTTCCCCTTCCCCCTGTCCCCCTCACCCCCCGGACTTCCCTTTTTTCCCCCTCGGTTAAATGTTATTATCCAAAGTTAGTAGATTTTTAAACAAACATTTGTATGCAAATTCTCAGTACATTTATTGACTTGAAAAATGTTGTTTGAAAGTACTTCAGAATTTTGTTTGCTTTTAACATTCAATTTTAGAATGAACGGACTTTACCAAACGAAGACCACATACGTTGTTAGAAATTTGTTGAAGATACATTTTCTAATCACCGTGGTCAAAAACGAACTTCAATTTCATCCCACTAACGATTAGAAAATAGTATAAATATTCTTAACATGAAACATTTTAAATAAAAGTGGTTGTAAACCTCAGACATGAAATATAAACAAAGCATATCCCTCTATAATGTGCACTTGTCTCAATTAAAAGCACTACATATAATTTTTGTCTGCTGCTTCATTCCTCTGCTATCAGCATGAGTCGCTTCTGAAAAGTTTTCCTGACACCAAGAGAAAATGGTGATGGGGAGGGACCTCCAGTTGATTGACAGCTTCAGCTCTGTTCCTGCGTGCTGAATGGAGGGGGTGTGTCTTTTTCTTTTCCCTCCAATCAGCTCTCAGAGCTCTCCTCACTGAGCTCTGCAGTGTATAACATCAGCTCTCCACCCCTTGTTATCTGAACTTTCAGACAAGCTTATAAGATCCTGGACTTTGAACAGATGTAAAGAAGAGAATGCTGCAGATAAACCGGTACAATGTATGTAGGAGGATTTGTTTCATCTCTGTGAATCACCTGAGGTCAGTCACTTCACTGGGTATATGGAAGGGTTTACAACCACTTTAAATTCTTCTAGTGTATGCCCAGCTTAAGGGAAATGTAGTATGCACAAGACTTTGGGAACTATAAACTGGAATACCCTAAGGTCCACATCTGTCAGGTTACCATAGGTTATTTCAATGGCTACTTACCTGATACCTCTGATACTTCTACAGTGTCCAACACTTTCTGGACTTTTATTATGGTCTTCTGAGCTTTTTAATGTTTGTCCAACACAACAAACACTTTACTCCTGCGCTAGGAAAGGACTCAGTAGACCCAATAGGAATGTTCTGGAATTTTCTGGAATATGCACTGCTTGCTGCCCTCAACAGACCGGCGTGGCCGAATACACTGGATACAAATGGAGAAACAGAAAAAGGGCGCACGACCTAGTGCATTATCGTTTAAAATAATTTATTAAAGAAATAAAAATAGGTATCATACTCACAATGGACATAATAACACAGGCATGTCAAACTGAACAAGACGTATGATCCAAACAACATCTGAGTCCATACGATGGAACCCTGGATGACCAACTGGCTAACGCGTTTCGAGGACATAACCTCTTCCTCAGAGCCAACACTACAGACGTCTGCACTTCTCTTTATATAAGTTACTAAATGGTAACAAAAGGGCTGTATCAGAACCTGAGCCTGACATCACATGACCCATTAGCATCAAAATAGAAAAAAAACAAACAAACAACTTTTTATAATAATAATAATAATATATATATAATAATTAAATGATGGTTAAAAACATCACAATATTATAAAAACATAATAAATATGATAAATGTATAAACACTTACACTTATAGGAAGGTCATAGGTGGTATATGATGATGATGATGATGATGATATATCACCTATGACCTTCCTACAAGTGTAAGTGTTTATACATTTATCATATTTATTATGTTTTTATAGTACAGTTCTATCATTCATCATTTAACTATAATACAGTTTTTTAACCATCATTTAATTAATTAATTAATTAATTAATATATTATTATTAAAAAAAGTTTTTTTTTTTTTTTTATTTCTCTATTTTGATGCTAACGGGTCATGTGATGTCAGGCTCCACCTTCGGGTGGTTCTGATACAGCCTTTTGTTACCATTTAGTAACTTATATAAAGAGAAGTGCAGACTCCTGTTTCTCCTTTTTAATGTTTGTACCTTGGAATGACATTGTATAGCTATGTTTATGTTAAAACTCCCAAAATTAAATAAAAATACAATTACAGAAAAATAAAGTTCTTGGTGTTTATGGCTCTATGTATGAGACCATCACTGGTGCCACTGTCTGTACATATTGCAGTGTTGGCATTCTCATATAGTCAGTTATTATATTTTCGTCTCAGTTTCCCCTCCCCCCCAACTCATACAGATACGCTTGCCCATGCAATGCCCACAGCTGCCCATTCCACTCTCAGATGAATTAATTCCAATCCTACCAACGTCATTTACTTTCTGCTGGTGACACAGCTGACACACATGACATCTTTGGCGTTTAACAGACTAAAGGTTGCAAAAAAAAAGAACTCAGGGATGTTTAATGGGCATTTCTGTAGCCTAGTTCTGTAGAGAGATAGTAGTTATCTTCAGCTTATTGTGGAGGATTTAAAACCAAGCTCCAAGCAGATGTATAAAAAACACACAAATTAATTGGTTTATGTTTCACTTTAATTTATTAATGTTAAAAACTGTTAAAATGTTACTTGTGCGCTTACAGGTACCTGATTTGGACATGTTACTAGCCTGTAGTCCCCTTTACAGCAATAATCAGACTGGAAGAGGGACAGGCAACAGTTGGCAATAAGGTGTGCTGCAGTGTGTACAGGCAGGCAAGGGACATTCTAACAGGAGAAGAGGGCAGAGTGAGCAGAAGGACGACTCATCATTGTGCTACTGCTATTTCTTCACTGTCCAATCACAGGCCATGGAAATGAAAGGTTTTTGTGGCTGTGGGTGTGGTTGCCAACATCCCTGTTCTGTTTCTCCAATCCAAGCATTGAAAGTGTGATCTCTGTAACTTACAGTTGTGATGAGATAGCGATAACTCCAATCTTAGTTGAATATCACAGGCAGTGACTCAATCCAGAAAACATCTTGTAGATCTTGTGAAGTTTATTCTATACACTGGGAGAATCTTACATCAGATAGGTCAAAAGATCAGATCTGCTTCATGACATGAGGCTTGAAGCTGAAATGCCTTACTGGGAAAAGGGTGGGGCTATCTATACAGCATGAACTAAACCAGAGGAAAGGGAGGAGTAGAGACAAAATACAAAGAACACTTAAAGGCATATGACAGTCCTGTGAAACATGACAATCCCTATTTGATCACATTGATTGAAAACACTTTTTTTTCTAATGGGATTTTTAAGGCAACCATACAACAAACTGTATATATTTTTATAAAAACATTATTTTATTTGTTCAAACCCTTACAATGACAAAAAGTCAATAAATTTAAAAAGAGGTTGTTTTTTTTTGTAAGCATTACTTCACATATCCATGTTCTCCACAAAGTTATAACATTTTTTTATGCATCTGTTAAAAGGTTAATTTTCGGAACCATACATGTGTTGACAATCTCTATACAGTGGTATCCCCAGTTATTGCATGTACAAAAAACACGTCCACACCAGGGGCGGACTGACCATTTGGAAACTCGGGCACTGCCCGAGGGCCCGGGGTCAGTAGGGGGCCCCATGAGATGCCCCTGGTACCTTTTTCATAGGTTTTTTTTAGTTTGGGCAAGGACACAGGGGCCCCATGATCCCCTATTGCCCGGGGGCCCCATGAGTTGTCAGTCCGCCCCTGGTCCACACTAACACAATCTGTTGGTTCTTGATTGTCGGTTGGTTAGCTTGGGGTTTCCAACGCGTTTCAAAGCCCTTTTCATTAGCTCCTTCCTCAGGGAAATCATACCACTCTGCAATATAAGGTTCTTACCACAATCAACAACATCCACAATACAGCAAATGATGTTCCAAGGAAAAAATAATACATTCTCTTCAAATATAATGGATTTTTCTTACATATATCATAGTCTGTTAGATATGGAAACCATCTCCTATGGCCAAGGTTACATAGTTAGTCTAGTTGGCTGAAAAAAAAGTTAGTTGGCTGAAAAAAAGACAAAAGTCCATCCAGTTAAAAAAAATTAAAAAGTTATAATTCTACACCCACAGTTGATCCAGAGGAAGGCAAAACAACCCAGCAAAGCATGATCCAATTTGCTCCAGCTGGGAAAAAAATTCCTTCCTGATCCCCCGAGAGGCAATTGGATATTCCCTGGATCAACTTTACCTATAAATGTTAGTATCCAGTTATATTCTGTGTATCTAGGAAATAATCCAGGACTTTTGTGAAGCAATCTACTGAGCTAGCCAGAACCAACTCTTGAGGGAGTCTATTCCACATGTCCACATCTCTCACTGTGATAAACAGTTGCCGCCATCACCCCAGTTGGATTCACACAAGGACCTCTTAAACCTCACCGCCCACTGTTATAGAAGAAAAGGGGGGATAATACTAATACATCTGATTCTGAGTAAGATAATTCTATATCTCCTAGATATTAGACACACTGAATAGTTTGGAACAAAATAAATCAATTTTCAGGATTTAAATGAATACTCTTCACAGTCAGAGAGACTATATTATACATTCCGTTGTCCATTGTTATCACAAGTAAGTCTCCCTCCATAATAATCAAGCTGAGCAAAAGTTCAGAAAAGTAAATAAACTTACAATGGGCCATCCATGGTTTAGGTTTAAAAATCTCCAAGCCACTCAAGCTGTCTCCACCTTGGATGTATGTTCAACAAATGAGTGCTAGATAACATCTCTTATATAGGGCAGGCCATGGGTGGGGAGGCGACCAGGCTGTATTGAAGGCTGCAGAAGAAAAAAAGTCAGGTCCACAACCTGACTGTGCTGTCTGGTGGGAGGAAATTTCTGGTGTTATCTCCACTATCTCCCTGTGTAGCGCCCTCTGTTATACATAGTTGTTGAGAGTAATTAGAGACTTGCCAGAAGCCTGGGTTTAGAAATAGGGTTACTTCAGTAAGGCTAGAGGGCTCTACAGGCCAGTCTTCTGGTACCTCGCCGGGCTCTAGAAACTTGGGGAAGCTTCTAAAAGTCAGTAGGCGGAGGAGAGGAGGGGCTGATCTGCATATTTGTGGGAGTCTGGCCAATCCCAGGGAGGAGGCCTGGCAGTGTGGCAGACTGACCCATAAATATGACAGAGCCTGGCCAGCAAGGAAGTCGGGTGGAAGATGGAGTGCTGAGAGATGCTGCTATGTAGCCTGGGAGGGGGCCCCGGAGAAGGGGGGTGCTGGCTCCAGGCTGGAGGCTGGAAGCTGAAGGGGGAAAGAGGAGAGCTAAAGGAAGGAACTCCACTGCCCTGCAGTCCACCAGGGAAGGACAGCCTGCATAGCTTGGAGAGGAACCAGCCCAGCTAGAAGATTTTAAAGCAGTTCTATCCACAGCTTCAGGACAAGGACAGTGTGAGTACCTCTACACCCCCAGGGCCTAGAAGGGAGAAGTCTGCTGGATGCAAGTTCTTGGCAAGTCTTCAGAGGAAGTTTATAGCTTACCCAATCTCTTGTCCTGGGATCAGATAACGTAGCCAGGTGGGCTGGTATTTTGTTCACTTAGGGGACTAAGAACTCCTACAAGTTGGGACTTTGCTAAATATCCATTCAAGAGGATTCAAAGATCCTGCAAGCCACATTGCTAAAGACCGTCATGGTGTCTGGCTGGAACACTGTCATTCATTTGCCATTTTTTTTGTAGTGTTTTAGAGAAGGAAATCGTCCCTAATTGATATTCTGCAATCAAGTTGTGGATCCCATAACCCTTTTATCCTATCCAAGTTAAATTCCCTAATAAAACTATAAAACCCAAGCCCATGGACTCTTTGTTGTGTCTGGATACAAGTGGAAAATGCATGTTGCCTGGCTGTGCAGGAATTAAAGGGGAACCCAAAACCAGCAGCTCTCAAGAGGTGCTCTCATGCTAAATATAAAGCATTTAAATATTCAATTTACACATGTACAGACAGCGCGGGGTGTACTGTACCTTCCAGGCATATATGAAATAGGTCACCCATATATAAATATACACGTCACCAACACACATACTTAGAAACACGTCTGCAGAGTTTTCAAGCAAAAGTATTGGCAAAGACCCCTGCAGCTCTGTGCAACCAATGCTATAAAATTGCGCAGGTAATTTATCTATCTATTTTTTTATATATATATATATATATATGTATATATACAGTGGGGATCGAAAGTTTGGGCACCCCAGCTAAAAATTTGTATTAATGTGCATAAAGAAGCCAAGGAAAGATGGAAAAAATCTCCAAAAGGCATCAAATTACAGATTAGACATTCTTATAATATGTCAACAAAAGTTAGATTTTATTTCCATCATTTACACTTTCAAAATAACAGAAAACAAAAAAATGGCGTCTGCAAAAGTTTGGGCACCCTGCAGAATTTATAGCATGCACTGCCCCCTTTGCAATGCTGAGACCTGCCAGTGTCATGGATTGTTCTCAATCATCGTCTGGGAAGACCAGGCGATGTCAATCTCAAAGGTTTTAAATGCCCAGACTCATCTGACCTTGCCCCAACAATCAGCACCATGGGTTCTTCTAAGCAGTTGTCTAGCAAACTGAAACTGAAAATAGTTGACGCTCACAAAGCTGGAGAAGGCTATAAGAAGATAGCAAAGCGTTTTCAGATGTCAATATCCTCTGTTCGGAATGTAATTAAGAAATGGCAGTCATCAGTAACAGTGGAAGTTAAAGCAAGATCTGGAAGACCAAGAAAAATATCAGACAGAACAGCTCGCAGGATTGTGAGAAAAACAATTCAAAACCCACGTTTGACTGCACGATCCCTCCAGAAAGATCTGGCAGACACTGGAGTTGTGGTACACTATTCCACCATAAAGAGATACTTGTATAAATATGGTCTTCATGGAAGAGTCATCAGAAGAAAACCTCTTCTACATCCTCACCACAAAAAACATCGTTTGAACTTTGCAAATGAACATATAGACAAGCCTGATGCATTTTGGAAACAAGTTCTGTGGACCGATGAGGTTAAAATTGAACTTTTTGGCCGGAATGAGCAAAGGTACGTTTGGAGAAGAAGGGGCACAGAATTTAATGAAAAGAACCTCTGTCCAACTGTTAAGCATGGGGTTGGATCAATCATGCTTTGGGGTTGTGTTGCAGCCAGTGGCACAGGGAACATCTCACATCTCTAATCTGTAATTTGATGCCTTTTGGAGATTTTTCCATCTTTCCTTGGCTTCTTTATGCACATTAATACAAATTTTTAGCTGGGGTGCCCAAACTTTCGATCCCCACTGTATATATATATTTGCAGCTGCTGCCTTTGAATTTGTTGTTCCTAGGCTGCAGAACCTTTTTAAGTGCCAAGAATCATGCTTTTGCGTGCATTAAAATGTGCAAAACAAACAGGAGACACTAAAAGCTTAACACCCAAAAAGGTACAGGAGCTCCTTTAGTGCATTTGTCTCACATAAGGCAGCCCATTGAAATGAATGGTCCACCCTCAGAGGCATATTTACCACAAGGCAAACAAGGCATTTGCCTAGGGCGGCATTTTTTTAGGGGGGCAGCACTGCCTCCTGGAAGAAGGGACATATGCAGCATGGGGACCAGGTAGGATCTGAGAGAGGCTTCGGGCTGCTTGATGGTGTATGCAGAGCCCAACTGTTGTTCCCAGGGATGTCCAGAGATGTAAAGGTCTTTCACTCTGTCGGAGTGAAAAGCTCTCTCGGCTGGGGGGGACGATGGGGCAGGGGTGTTGGTCACTGTCAGGCTGTCTCCTCGGGGGGGTTCTGGTATTGGTGTCAGACTCTCTACGCCGGGGGAGGAGGGGTATCCGATTTTTGTATTGCCTAGGGCAACGCAAAACCTAAATACACCACTGGCCACCCTATGTGCGTAGCAAGAAAGTGCACAAAAAAGTGCACTCACAAGTCACTAGGGGGTGTATTTACTAAAGCTGGTTCACACAGAATCTGGTGCATTGTGTATGTTAGCCAGGGGCGGACTGACCATTTGGAAACTCGGGCAATGCCCGAGGGCCCGGGGTCAGTAGGGGGCCCCATGAGATGCCCCTGGTACCTTTTTCATAGGCTTTTTTGAGTTTGGGCAAGGACACAGGGGCCCCATGAGTTGTCAGTCCGCCCCTGATGGTAGCCAATCAGCATCTAACCTCAGTTTTTTCAATTAGGTTTTAGCAATAAAACCTGGAAGCTGATTGGTTTCTAGGCAGACATGCATGAGATTCTGAGTGAACCAGCTTTAGTAAATAAACCCCTAGGTGTAAACCTAGCTTAAAGCTGGCCATAGATGGATTGAATCCCAGCTGGTTCAGCAGTAAGCGGCTGAGATTCGATCCATCTATGGACAGGATGGTTGCACTGACGTTGAACCAACGGTTAACTTTAGTACAACTAGCCTGTTGTGTTTTTCCTGAACGATCACTGCTGGTGGCTGTAGTCGCAGCAATGATCACTGTATTCTGTTGGCAAGGAAGACTCCCTGCCAGAAGAACATGGGTTTCCACCATCGACACTGACTGTGTTGATGGGGGAATGGAGCAATTTTCTTTCCTGCAATCCGTGATTGAAGAAAAGAAAATGGTATAATGTATGGCCTGCTTCTGAGACAAAAGGAGACGAGAGAGATAGAGTGAGAGAAAGAGAGAGAAAGAGAGAGAAAATGAATTAAGACTGTATAATACAACGGCATTGACTTTGTTGTATTAAAGTGGAACTGCACTGCATCGTAAACTAAAAATGCTGTTTCATTCATTATTAATATTCAAAGCAAACTCACCCATCCATCCATATCTCCATGCTTTATTTTTCTGAGAAATCATTTCAAACACCCCCCCCTCACATTTCTAGATGCGACCATCATGAGTAAGGGCAGATAATTCTTGTAGCATTTGCTTCCTGGAATCCATCTGCCCTTAGCTAAGGCTTAGGTTAATCTGAGAACCCTCCCCTCCTGAAGACTCCTGGGATTGATGACATCATTTGAAGAAATGAGCAAGGCATGAAGAAATGTAAAAAAAAAAAAAGTTTAAAACAAGTAAATATGATATATATTATATTGCCAAAAGTATTAGGCCAGCCCTCCAACTCATGTGATTCAGGTGTTCCAATCACCTCCATGGCCACAGGTGTATAAAATCAAGCCCCTAGGCATGCAGACTGCTTCTACAAACATTTGTGAAAGAATGGGTCGCTCTCAGGAGCTCAGTGAGTTCAAGCGTGGTACCGTGATAGGTTGCCACCTGTGCAATAAGTCCATCCGTGAAATCTGCTTGCTACTAAATATTCCACAGTCAACTGTTATTGATGTCATAACAAAATGGAAGCAACTGGGAACAACAGCAACTCAGCCATGAAGTGGTAGGCCACGTAAAATGACAGATCGGGGTCAGCGCATGCTTAAGCGTACAGTGCGCAGAAGTCGTCAAATGTCTGCATTGCCAATAGCTAAAGACCTCCAAATTTCCTGTGGCCTTCAGATTAGCGCCACAACAGTGCATAGAGAGCTTCATGGAATGGGTTTCCATGGCCGAGCAGCTGCATCCAAGCCTTACATCACCAGGTTCAATGCAAAGTGTCGGATGCAGTGGTGTAAAGCACGCCGCCACTGGACTCTAGAGCAGTGGAGAAGTGTTCTCTGGAGTGACCAATCATGCCTCTCTGTCTGGCAACTGATGGACGTGTCTGGGTTTGGCGGTTGCCAGGAGAACGGTACTTGCCTGACTGCATTGTGCCAAGTGTAAAGTATGGTGGAGGGGGGATTATGGTGTGGGATTGTTTGTCAGGGGTTGGGCTTGGCCCCTTAGTTCCAGTGAAGGGAACTCTTAAGGTGTCAGCATACCAAGACATTTTGGAAAATTTCATGCTCCCAACTTTGTGGGAACAGTTTGGGGATAGCCCCTTCCTGGTCCAACATGACTGCGCACCATTACACAAAGCAAGGTCCATAAAGACATGGATGAGCGAGTTTGGGGTGGAGGAACTTGACTGGTCTGCACAGAGTCCTGACCTCAACCCCATAGAACACCTTTGGGATGAATTAGAGACTGCGAGCCAGGCCTTCTCCCCCGAAATCAGTGCCTGACCTCACAAATGTGCTCCTAGAAAGAAATGGTCAAACCTTCCCATAGACACCCTTCTAAACCTTGCGGACGGCCTTCAGAGAAGAGTTGAAGCTGTTATAGCTGCAAAGGGCGGGGCCAACTCAATATTGAACCCTACATGCCTCTTCCTTGTCTTCTTCTTCTTCATCTTCATCTCATCTCATGCACTCTTTCTTCTTCTTTTCATCCTCATCCTCTTCTTCTTCATTCATCTCTCATTCTTCTTCTTCATCCTTTTCATCTTCATCCTCTTCTTCTTCATCGCCTCTTACTCATAATACGCTTCCTCTTCTTCTTTTTCTTCTTTTTGTCTTCTCATTGCAGGTCACGTCACCATCGCCTGAACGGCGCAGATTTTTTAAATCGGTAAAAAAAAATCGGCGCGATTTTTGCCCACCTAATTGCCGCGAAAATCGCCGATTCGGCAAAAACTCCGTAAAAAAAAAAACGGCCAAAATAACCGAAAAAATACGGCCGACCCCAAATCGCCCACTAACGATCCGAAAATCGGCCGATTTTATTTTTCGGCCTGAATAAATCGGCCGCGACTAAGACCTGATGCCATTGATACAATGTTTCAACCGCTGTAAATTCAAGGAACTGTCAGAAATAGCGGAGCTCTCTGCAGAGACACTTTTTGCTGGACTGGAATTCTTCTTATTTTCATCCTTCTTCTACTTCATCTTTCTTCTTCTCTTCTTCTTCAATCCTCATCCTCATCCTCTTCTCTTCTTCTTCTTCTTCATCCTCATCCTCATCCTCATCCTCTTCTTCTTCATCAACATCATCCTCATCCTCTTCGTTCTTCTTCATCCTCATCCTCTTCTTCTTCATCATCATCCTCATCCTCAAAGTTCATGTGTGTGTAAAGGCAGACGTGCCAATACTTTTGGCAACATAGTGTACTTTCCTATCTATTTACTAATGATAGCAGCATAGGAACTAAAAATGGTCCAAGTTGATTGAGAGGGTAAAAGTTCCACTTTAAACACTAACAAACAAAACTTGGAGTTCTCCTTGAAATAAGTCAGAAAAGGACAGGGACTCTGTGTATGTTTTCCTACAGACAAACAGATAATTGTATAGCGGGGAAACTGGAGGGAGATTATAGTGTGTCGAGGGAAGACAAGCAAACATAGTGCACATATCATATAGAGACTGTACACATTAGATGTGCATAATGATACACGCAGAGGGATCGTAATCCTGGGGGTATCTCCTTATTCTTCTGCAGCTTCTACGTCTGGCGCCAGTGAAACAAAAAACATCTCATTATTAGAACCGCAGGAGGAGAGTCCAAAAACAGCAGGTTTTATCCTCAATTCTTAAGAAAATATTATTAGCATGCCAGGGGCTGAGCCAGGGAGGAAACCCCAGACATTTACCAGGCTAGAATGACAAAGACAAGCCGGCCAGAGCTGATAGGATTTTCTTGTGATGGGGCAGAAGGAAGCGCAGCTGGAGAGAGAAATGATGGATTAAATCCTCTCTCTGACAACTCCATAGGGAAATGGTCTGTTTAAATAATTTCATACAAGGGTCAGCTAGAATATTTGGAAGCCTTGTCTTTTCTTAAATTAACTTTTTATGTCAGCGCCTCTGGAAAGATAAAGTGAACCTGTGACTAGGTTGAGGACATTTAAGTATATACAAATTTTTAACAAACAGTCAACGCTTTATAACGATCTCTCACTGATCTCTGTTGCTGCAGACACTATGGAGCAATGCAACCTCAAGGTTCACAGCAGAAGCATTGCAGTCATTCTCTGCAAACAGTCAATGAGCTTTATAACGAGCTCTCACTGATCTCTGTTGCTGCAGACACTATGGAGCAATGCAACCTCAAGGTTCACAGCAGAAGCATTGCAGTCATTGTCTGCAAACAGTCAATGAGCTTTATAACGAGCTCTCACTGATCTCTGTTGTTGCAGACACTACGGAGCAATGCAACCTCAAGGTTCACAGCAGAAGCATTGCAGTCATTCTCTGCAAACAGTCAATGAGCTTTATAACGAGGTCTCACTGATCTCGGTTGCTGCAGACACTACGGAGCAATGCAACCTCAAGGTTCACAGCAGAAGCATTGCGTTCATTCTCTGCAAACAGTCAATGAGCTTTATAACGAGCTCTCACTGATCTCTGTTGCTGCAGACACTACGGAGCAATGCAACCTCAAGGTTCACAGCAGAAGCACTGCAGTCATTCTCTAAGCAGATCAACTCCTCTTCACACCCCCCCTTCCAGCAAAGACTTCGAAGCCAAACTCCAGCTAACACTTTATAAACAGTTACAGCAAAGGGTTCTTTTTCCTGTTGGGATAAACGTTTTACATAAATAAATAAAAGCTGATCATTGTAAGCACCTCTGACAGTGGTAAATGGATTGTCTCATCCCTGTAAGTGCAAAAGCCTGTTCTTTCGAAAAACAACAAACTTACTGGCTGGATCATGAGATGAAAATAAAAGTAAGAAAGTCTAAAAAAGAAAAACTAATATAACAATCTCATCTAATATTTGGTAACCTGCAATATAATAAATATTTGCTTATGGGTTTAATACTGCTTTAAAATGGTATTAAACCCAAAATCTAAAATGTTATATATTGCAGCTTACCAATCATTAAATGTGGCGGCTGCATTAGTCTTTTTTCCCATTGTTTTCACCTAGTGATCTGGCTATTAACACTCCTGTATACAGCTTGTTTTACACCTATGTAGTTAGCTTTTGATCCGTTTCTGCAGTGCTTTTTGCTGTATGTTTTGCATTTTTGCACATGCGTTTTGTACATTTTTTTAATGCGTTTTGTAATTTTTATGCTTTTTTTTGGCCAATTTGGTTTTGGGTAAATTAACCGCTTGCCCTCCAGATGATTTAAACCCCCTTCCTGACCAGGCCATTCTTTGCAATATGACGCTGCGTTCCTTTAACTGACAGTTTCACAGTCATGCAACACTATACATAAATTAAACTTACGTCACTTTTTTCCCCCACAAATAGAGCTTTCTTTTGGTGGTATTTGATAGCCTCTGCATTTTTTTTTTTG